TCTGCCTCTCCCCTACCTCCCAAATCATCATCATCATCTTCTTTTTTTTTTTTTTTTTTTTGAGACAGAGTCTTGCTCTGTCACTGACATTGAAGTACAGTGGCACGATCACAGCTCACTGCAGCCTCCCAAACAGCTGGGACCACAGGCGTGCACCAACACTTCTGGCTAATTAAAAATTATTTTGTTATTAATGGGGTCTCCCTATGTTGCCCAGGCTGCTCTTGAACTCCTGGGCTCAACCAATCCTTGGCCTCCCAAAGGGCTGGGATTAAAGGTGTGAGCCACCGTGCCTGGCACCAAACCTTCTTGACATCTAACTACATCGTAAGATCTGTGGAGTGCAGGTCTACTTAAGAGCCTGAGTTCTAACACCAGACTGCCTTGTATGAAGCCCAGCTTTCCCCAACTTGTTAACTGGGTTATCCTCCGTAAGGTACTTAAACTCCTTGTTCTATAGTTTTCACATCTGTTAAAAAAGAAAAATGAACAGAATCTACCTTACGGGCTCATGGTATGAATTATTTATGAAGTCCTCCCTGACAATAATAGCTAGTTATTATTAGTAATATTAATATTTATAATAGCTATTAATAATATATTATTAATATATGTTAATATAATATATTATATAATTATATATTATATAATATATAACAAATTCTATAATATATTTTTTAATATTAATAGCTATTATATATTATTATTAGCTATTACCATAAATTTTCACCTCATCTCACAGATAATCAGTAGCTTCTTTTTCTTAATTCAACAAAACCACAGTCTGTAGACACTGCATATTTATTTTGAGAAGTCTTTTGTTCAAGTGATTCTCCTGCCTCAGCCTCCCAAGTAGCTGGGATTACAGGCATCTGCTACCATGCCTGGCTAATTTTTGTATTTTTATGAGAGACAGGGTTTCACCATCTTGGCCAGGCTGGTCTTGAATTCCTGACTTCATGATCCGAAGCCTCTCAAAGTGTTGGGATTACAGGTGTGAGTCACCACGCCTGGCCTTGAGAAGTCTTAATGGAGTATGGCTGGTCTAACAGGTTCTTTTCTTTTTCTTTTTTTGGAAATGGAATCTCGCTCTGTCACCCAGACTGGAGTCAGGCGGCGTGATCTCGGCTCACTGCAACCTCCACCTCCCAGGTTCAAGCAATTCTCATGCCTCAGCCTCCCAAATAACTGGGATTACAGGTGCCCACCACCATGCATAGCTAAGTTTTGAATTTTAGTAGAGACGGGGTTTCACCATGTTGGCCAGGCTGGTCTCGAACTCCTGAACTCAAGTGATTCACCCACCTCAACCTCCCAAATTGCTGGGATTACAGGCATTAGCCACCACACCAGGCCTGGTCTAACAGGTTCTTGCAGCACATCTCAGGAAAGTGGCCCTTATGGTTCAGTTCAGCTCTGGCAGAACACGCTGAAGTTTGACACTGGACTCAGGTATACCTGTGAGTTGGCTATTCAGATCGGCCTTGAGCTCCAGGCCACCCTGGGGCCCCCCCAGGGCCACCCTAGGGATTGCAGCTCCACAGAGCCTGGTGCAGATCTGACATGGCCCCATCAACCTCTCCAGACCCATCCACTCTCTGCCACTAAAATTATGCCCTGAATGCTCTGCCTCAAAAGCATGGCAGTTCCCTGGGCTAGTCCTGCTGTTTCTTGTGCTGCCCAAGCTTGTTCATCTTTATCTGGAATACCTTTCTCCTCCTCACTCCCTGGCAAACTTCCACTTTCCCTTCCAGGTTTTATTTAACTCTCATTTCCTCTATCTGGAAGCCCCCTCAGCAGTGCTTGCCCTCTGTGCCAAGTCTCCTAGTTATGTCTATTCTGGTATTTTCCACATTAATGGACACAATTCTGGCTGACCCTTCCCATAGACTACCAACTCCTGGAGAGCCCAGCAGAACAGGGAAGGCACTTCTGAATGATCAAATGATGGGCAAGCCTTTTGGACTTCTTTCAAAATTAAGCTCATGGGCTTTTGATCAGTGTTAAGAATCATGAGGCCCAGTGTGGTGGCTCACATCTGTAATCCCAGCACTTTGGGAGGCCCAGGTGGGAGGATCACTTGAGCCTAGGGGTTCAAGACCAGCCTGGGCAACATAGGGAGACCCTGTCTCTACAAAAATGACAAAAAAAAAAAAAAAAGAGTTAGATAAAATCTGGGCTCCTAGAGATTTGCCCTTGGTTGAAAGTGGGCCAGACATGTGAATTCTTACATTCCTGAAGTTCAAGGTAGCAGTTACCACCCATTTTTGGAGGACACTTCAAAGGACTCAGACAATTAGCTTGTTTCTTAAGGAATTCTGAGAAAAGAGAAAACAATACTATAATTTCTGTTTAAGCGTCACTGGGCAAACAGGTGTAACATGTAGGTCTGGCTCAAGTATGAATAGGTAGGAGAGAATTACAAATTTTTTATGAGCAACTTATTTATATCAATAATAGAGCTCTAATGGATTTGAAGGGTGGTGGAAGTAGCAGTAAAATGTCATACTAGGAGCCTCATAGAATTAGAGAATGCAAGAGCTAGAAGTGGCCTTTCAGATCAATGACTATTTTGAAATTATGAGTCAGTGATAACGTTTTCACTGGTCCACAGAAAACTGAGATACATTTGGATAATCTGCTACTTATTTTTTTATAGTATTGGCTCCAAGTGATATTATATATTTTTTAAAAGCTATATAAATTCAATATAAAGAATTGTTATTTATTCTGAGATTAAATTTGTCCGCACTTTTGTGGTACTAAAATATTGTGGTTTTTTTTGAGACAAAGTTCGCTCTGTCACCCAGGCTGGAGTGCAGTAGCGTGATCTTGGCTCACCACAACCTCCGCCTCCCAGGTTCAAGCAATTCTCCTGCCTTGGCCTCCTGAGTAGCTGAAATTACAGGCATGCACCACCACGCCTGGCTAAATTTTTTTGTATTTTTAGTAGAGACGGGGTTTCACCATATTGGGCAGGCTGGTCTCAAACTTTGGACCTTGTGATCTGCCTGCCTCGGCCTCCCAAAGTGCTGGGATTACAGCACCGGAGTCACCGTGCCTGGCCCTAAATAATGAAAAGATGGTGATTATAAATGGTAGTTGGGTCTTTTTGGAGTTTTTTTTGTTGTGGTGGTTGTTTTTTTAAAAACAACTATTAAATATATAATACATATATTCCCAATTAGTTTTTTTTTATTTTAGATAGGGTCTTGCTCTGCTGCCCAGGGTGGCACGCAGCAGAGATCATGGCTCACCACAGCCTCCAACTCCTCGAGAGACCCTCCTGCTTCAGCCTCTTGAGTAGCTGGGACCCCATGTGCATGTTACCACGCCTGGCTAATTTTTGTCCATTTGTTGTTGAGATGGCATCTCACTGTGTTGCACAGTCTAGTCTCGAACTCCTGGGCTCAAGTGATCCTCCTCTGCCTCAGCCTCCCAAAGTGCTGGCAATACAGGTGTGAGCCACCACACCCAGTGAATGCAAATTTTATACGGTCCATTAGAGTGCATGTTAAGCCCTGTTGTGCTTTGCCACAATGACGTTTTACAATCATGTAAAATAACTTGGCTTTTATAGGGCCTTTAAATGCATAAATTATGAGTTGTTGTGATTTTCATCTGATCAACACTCAACCGGATAGTATAAGAAGCTTTTATAAATATACACAAATAAATATATACTTATTTCATAAGCTCTACTTATAAACTCGTTGGTTCACTTTCTTCCTTATCAGTCATTAAACAGCAGCTACTACTATGTTTTCCTTGCAGTTCACAACATATAGTTCTAAGGCAGTAATTTTGCCTCTAGGACCAGATGGGCCAGCTTACTTATGCCCTTCTGTTGAGTCATGTAAATATCACAAAATGACACATGCCACTAAGACAAACAGAAAAGCCTTTAAACTCAGCCCTGGAGCCAGGAAAATATTCAAAAACGGTGATGCCAAAAATTGTAGCCAACTGATCTCCACTTTTCATTATTATTCCAATTAGTTTCGTAGTCACTATATTTATGGGAGTTCTAATGCCTGTTGTTAACTGAAATTGCTATTTGGTATGCAGATTCACATGCTTACCTTTCTTCCTTGTAAAAAGTTTGAACTAGCAGCTAGAAACTCAACCCACTGAAGAGGCCAAAGTGGCCGCGCGGTGGTGGCTCATGCCTGTATTCCCAGCACTCTGGGAGGCTGAGGAGGGCAGATTGCTTGAGTCCAGGATTTTGAGACCAGCCTGGGCAACATGGTAAAACACTGTCTCTACTAAAAATACAATGGGCATGGTGGCGTGTGCCTGTGGTCCCAACTACTCAGGAGGTGGAGGTGGGAGAATCACCTGAGTCCAGGAAGGTTGAGGCTTCAGTGACTCGAGATCCTGCCATTTTTTTTTTTCATCCTTCTACTCCTGGGATCAAGAGATCCTGCCATTGTACTCCAGCCTGGGCAACAGAGTGAGACCCTGTCCCCCCGCCACCAAAAAAAGGCCAAACTAAAACAAAAGCTGTTACCTAGTATAAGACAGGTATCCAGTAAACTTATTTAGATTTTTACTTTAAAATAATTTTTTTTGCATTAAAAAAATTTAATCTTAAAAAAAATAAGACAGGGTCTCACCATGTTGCCCAGGAGGGTCTCAAACTCCTGGCCTCAAGTGATCGACCCGCCTTGGCCTCCCAAAGTGCTGGGATTACAAGCATGAGCTACGGCACCCGGCCCCAGTAAAGTATTATCTTACTCACCATTTTTTCTAAATTTTGAAATAATTTTAGACTTATAGAAAAGTGGTCAAAACACTGCATCTCTGTCTCAGCTTTCCCTCATGTTAACATTTTATATAAACACAGTACAAATATCAAAACGAAGAATTACCACTGGAATAATTCTATTAACTAAACATAGACTTCATTAAGATTTCGCCACTTTCTCCACTAATGTCCTGTCTTGACCTCAAGAGCCAATTCATGATCCCACATAACACAAAACAGTTAAATCACAAACCTGTAGGAATCAGGGTTTCATCCACAGGCAAATACGTGTCCGCTTCTATGGTGACTTCATGGTCATATATATTCGGAGAACCCTGGGAGGAAAAGGGAGGAGAAAAGGTTTTCTGCTTAGTCTTATTTCATATATTCGCTTTTTAACTTCTCTTGCAAAAATGTTTTCAGGTATTGACAAAAACTTTAAAAATCTTGTTTGGCTCATGGTAATGATTAAATATGATCATTTAAGTGTAGGTAGATAAGGCCTCAAAATAGCAACAGGTACGTTTGGAAGAAACTTTCAAGTATGCACACATTTTCTTTTCTAAATAGAAGATGAAGGTGAAAAGTCAGAGACCACAGTGGCTTGAAAGCCTCTTGGACCTTGCTTTATTAGTGGAGGTATTTCTTCTACTCTTCGCACATGCCAGGCAAACAGAAGGGCAAGGGCTGGTAACCAGGAATACACGCATCCTAAGAGGTCAGGGCACTGCTCCAGGCTCACTCCTGGGGGTGCATCTGGCACTTCTCTCTGGCCTAGTTTCCATGTAGAGGCCCCACTCTCTGCTCCATGATAGAACCCCAGGGGTCAGAACTGTGGTTCCTACTTTTGAGAATTTGTCCGCTTCCTCTGTGAAGATGCAGCCTGCCCTTTTCTGGGGAGTCAAAGGCTAGTGCAAGAAGTACTGTGTTAGTACTAGTGTTAGGCTAGTGTCAGAAGGCCTGGGGTCTAGTTCCAGCCCTTCCTGATTGGTCCCAGGGAATATATGCAACCTTGTAGAATCTCATTTCCTTTGGTTTAAAATTAGGCTAATGATGTCACTACATTTTCCAAGGTCCTTTAGTAAAGGCATGTTTAGTAAAGGCATGTTGTGCTGTGCAAATACTTTACACATGAATGTTTCTTTCTTTCTTTTTCTTCTCTTTCTCTTTCTTTCTTTCTTCCTTTCTTTCTTCTTTCTTTCTCTTTCTTCCTTCCTTCCCTCCTTTCTTTTTCTCTTTCTTTCTCTTTCTTTCTTTCTCTCTCTCTCTCTCTCTCTCTCTCTCTCTTTCTTTCTTTCTTTCTTTCTTTCTTTCTTTCTTTCTTTCTTTCTCCTCTCTCTCTCTCTTTCTTTCTTTTTGATGGAGTTTTGTTCTTGTCACTTAGGCTAGAGTGCAATGATGTGATCTCAGTTCACTGCAACCTCAGCCTCTCAGGTTCAAGCTATTCTCCTGCCTCAGCTTCCCAAGTAGCTGGGATTACAGGCGCCTACCACCACACCCAGCTAATTTTTGTATTTTTAGTAGAGACAGGGTTTCACCACGTTGGTCAGGCTGGTCTCAAACTCCTAACCTCAGGTGATCCACCCATCTCAGCCTCCTTTGGGAGGCTGGGATTACAGGTATGAGAGACCGTGTCCAGCTGATTTTTTTTTTTTGAGACAGGGTTAGGGCAGGTTACCTGGAAACAGATTCTATGGTCCAAAAGACTGCTCCACACAATCAAACCAAGTCATTCTGAGAAGAAAGGCCAAGATTTTAGAGACCTTGAGAATGCATATCTAAACATGACAGAAACTGATTTAATTACACTACCAGTAGGCTGTTTATGAAAAACTATGATTCTCTTTCTTTTCTGAGGCAACAATGAGTCTCATTGTGTTGCCCAGGTTGGAGTGCAGTGGTGCAATCTTGGGTCACTGCAACCTCCACCTGCAGGGTTCAAGCAATTCTCCTGCCTTAGCCTCCTGAGTAGCTGGGATTACAGGCACCCACCACCATGCCAGAGTAATTTTTGTATTTTTAGTAGAGACAGGGTTTCATCACGTTGGCCAGGCTGGTCTCAAACTCCTGACCTCAAATGATCCGCCTGCTTTGGCCTCCCAAAGTGCTGCGATTACAGGCTTGAGCCACCATGCCCGGCCAGAGAAACTATGATGCTCTTGTATTCTACAGTGGGTGCATAGTGGGCAAGGGTAGGAGTGGGTGGGGGACAAGGCCAGGGCAGAGGCCTCTTCTCTGCACTTCCTACAGCTTGTTTGGTTCCTGTTCTGAGCTGGAGCAGCAGGTCCAAGACGGGAGAGGGTTTGCACTCCTGCCTAGAGCAGGTCTAGAATAGAGGGGATGTCTCTTCTGTGTGGCTCTCTCTCCTGCCATCCTCTCATGCCTTGGGCTGGTGCCAGCATTCGAAGATGCCCCTGGGACTGGGGGAGAGGATGCCCCTGGGACTATGGGAGAGGATGCCCCTGCCTCTGTGGGAGAGGAAGAGAATTTGGGACTACCCTATTTTCCTGCCCCAAACGGTGGGCTTTGGGTCAGCCCAGACAGGGGGTGCCAAAGTTGGGTTCAAGGCTTTGGTGGCACTAAACTAGGAGCTGCAGGCCACATACAAAGCTGAAGCTTGTCAGAAGAGGAGAACCCAGATGGACAGAGACCCAGATGGACCAGAGAACCCACATACTTCCTGTGCACAAATAATTATGCCTGGAAGAACACAGACTCTCTAATTTCATCCAATGAGGGATGCCTACAGGAGGCAAAGCCATTCTCCATTAATTCAGGTCTTCAGTCTGCTTCCTAGGTGCCTGCCTCCATAGAAACAGAACCATGCAGTATATATTCTTTCGTGCCTTGCTACTTCCATACAACATAATGCTCCTGGGGCCATCCATGTTATATTTCTTCATATTGTTGAGCAGTATTCCATTGTATGACTCTATTGCAATTTGTTTGTCCATTCTCCTGTTGATAGACTTTTGGGTTATTTCCAGTGTTTTACTATTATAAATAAAGCTGCTTAGAAATTTCCATTTTTTGGGTTTTTTTTTTAAGCATTAGAGAAATGAATCAACATGAAAATCATACACCAAATAAACTGATGAGTCTGAGATTTAGGAAGAAACCCAGGAGGAGAAGGAAAAAACATTCATCAGGCTCACACTTCATGGTCACTGGGTCATGAAGTGGTAGTAATATTCCTTCATTAACTAGGTGCATGCTTCGGTTTATGACTCTTCTAGGCTGGAAAAATGTAATGATCTACTCTGGTGGAATATTACCGTTGGAATCATTTCCTTTCAAGGTTGATGAAAACTTGGCAAGAAATGATTCACAAACAGACCTTGGGGCCCATCTCTGGGTTCAGTGTTAGTTTCGGTTAACTTTGCTTGGCTGCTACTCATTTGTAACATTAACCATTTACAGAGTCCATTATGATTTGCAGGGGACTTTAAAGACTTTGTTGTGCAGGGTCACTACCACAGCCATAACTCAGCTTTCATCGCCTCTAGCAGGAGGGTACGGGCACTGTGAGTTCCTACCCACAAGCCATAGCAGCTCCTTTACCAGCAACTCCCTGCCCCCAGGCAGAAATCGGGCTTGCTGATGTATCCTATGCTAGACCAGATATTCTGATATTCAGGGAAGGGGACCTCCCTCTCCATTCCCAGAGAGTGAATTTTGACTGGTCTAAGCCAATCATGGTGGCCTAATTCCCTTGCTGGCAATTGGGTTAGGAAGAGCATAGGCCATACTTCTGGCCAATGAGAAGTCAGAGAAAGTTGGCTGGAGGGCTTCTAGGAAAGGTTTTGCTTTTTCTTAAAAAGAGAACATTAGGGCAGGGTGCAGTGGCTCACACCTGTAATCCCAGCAGTTTGGGAGGTTGAGGCGGGTGGATTGTGAGGTCAGGAGTTCGAGACCAGCCTGCCCAACATGGTGAAACCCCATCTCTACTAAAGACACAAAAAATTAGCCGGGCATGGTGGTAGCACCTGTAATCCCAGCTACTGGAGAGATCAAGGGAGGAGAATCACTTGAACCGGGAAGCGGAGGTTGCAGTGACCCCTGGAGCCATTGCACTTCAGCCTGGGTGACAGGGGCGAGACTTTGTCTCAAAAAAAAGAGAACATGGCTGGCCGTGGTCACTCACGCCTGTAATCCCAGCACTTTGGGAGGCCGAGATGGATGGATCATGAGGTCAGGAGTTCAAGACCAGCCTGGCCACAATGGTGAAACCCCATCTATTAAAAAAAAAAAAAAAAGCGAGAACATTGGAGATATGAAAAAAGGAATAGGTCTTTTTGTCTCTGGATATGACTATATGAGTAGGTGATTCCTGGAGCGGTGGCCCTGAGGGGACAAGCCTGAAAACAAAAGCCAAAATATTGAGTAAGCAGATGGAGAAGTGGAAGAACCTGGGTTCCTGATGACATGTCTACTTGGTCATACCAGAGCCACAGTTATTGCTTTTCATCTCAAATTCCGCCAGACATGCTTTCATAACTCTTTAGGTAAAGTTTCCGTTTCGTTTTGTTTTTGTTTGTCTTTGTTTATATTTATTTATTTATTTGTTTATTTATTGAGATGGATTCTCACTCTGTCACCCAGGCTGGAGTCCAGTGCACAATCTTGGCTCACTGCAACTTCCGCCTCCTGGGTTCAAGCAATTCTCATGTCTCAGCCTCCCCAGTAGCTGGAATTACAGGTGTGTGCCACAACGCCCAGCTAATTTTTTAAATTTTCAATAGAGACGGGGTTTTACCATGTTGGCTAGGCTGGTCTCAAACTCCTGACCTCAAGTGATCTGCCTGCTTCGGCCTCCCAAAGTGCTGGCATTACAGGCATGAGCCACCGCACCCTGCCTGAATCTTGCTATGTTGCCCAGCTGGTCTTGAATTCCTGGGCTCCAGTGACGCTCTGCCTTGGCCTTCCAAAGTGCTGGGATTACAGGCATGAGCCACCACACCCAGGTCTTTAGGTAACGTTTCAATAATAAAAAAAACAAACAAACCCAGTTTTGTGTTAGGCACAAGAAGGAACAGAAAAAAACAAAACAATAAATTACTTGTAACCTACATAACTTTTACATTCTATGAAAAACCCAGTTCTCCCCTCCTCCCCAGGTCTCCAACACTCAAACTGAGAAGTGATGAACAATGCTTGCGCCCAAGTAGAACAAAAACACCACTCATTAAAATTAAAAAACAAAAATGTATAAGATGAGCTGATTATTTTAAATATCAGGTTTTGCGCTATATCCCTGGGGAGAGTTTGAGATGTATGTTAATGCTTCCCAAGGTACGGTAAGAGATATTCTGAAGATGCAGAGGCCCTTGACTCCAGGCCCGGCTTGGTGATTATCCACTGCTATCAGAGTGCCTCAGAAGGCTGGTGCCCCCACCCACCTTCGAATCTGAAGCTGGTGGCTTTGGATTCAAGCTATACTTACTAAGATACAGGTTGAGCATCCCTAATCTGAAAATCCAAAATCTGAAATGCTCCAAAATCTGAGCTTTTGAGTGTCAACATGATGCCCAGAAGTAGTCATTGGAGCATTTTGGATTTCAAGTTTTTGGATTAGAAATGCTCAATGGACAAGTATATATAATGCAAATATTCCAAAATCCGAAAATCTCCAAAATCCAAAACATTTCTGGCCCCAAGCATTTTGGATAAGCATACTCAACCTGTGGTATATACAAGGAAATTTATGCTAACCACCCTTTTGAATGGGGTCTATGATCTAGGAAACTATTTAGCCTCTGAAAAGAGATTAAAAAATACCTGTCACTCCAAGTCCCTGCAAGATTGGAAGAGTGGTGAAAAGCCTGTAAACTTAACATTCCCATATTGTCAGCTTCACTGGAACACATCAGCAGATGGAATATTGCATGCATAATTTCTTTCTATTTTTGAATTTATTCCTTTAGATCTCCCTTCCTCATTATTATTATTTTTTTTCTTTTTTTTTTGAGACAGAGTCTTACTCCGTCACCCGGCGCCAGGCTGGAGTGCAGTGGCGCAACCTTGGCTCACTGCAACCTCTGCCTCCCCGGTTCAAACAATTCTCCTGCCTCAGCCTCCTGAGTAGCTGAGACTACAGGTGTGTGCCACCACACCCAGCTAAATTTTTTTTTTTTTTTTGTATTTTTAGTAGAGATGGGGTTTCACCATGTTGACCAGGATGGTCTCGATCTCCTGACCTCATGATCCACCTGCCTCGGCCTACCAAAGTGCTGGGATTACAGGCGTGAGCCACTGTGCCCGGCCTCCCCTTCCCCATTATTAAACAGGATGTCCTAAGCATGAAAAATGTAGAAAAAAGAATAATCACCATAGTTTATCACCTATATAAAACAATACTTTGTTCTATTTCTGTCATTTCTTTCTGAACTTATTTTTAAAAGTAGAGCCTCTTAGGCCTGAGTGTTTTTGTTTTGTTTTTAAGATTTCTTTTTTCTTTGCTTTTTTTTTTTTTTTTTTTGAGATGGAATTTTGCTCTTGTTGCCCAGACTGGAGTGCAATGGCAGGATCTTGGCTCACTGCAACCTCTGCCTTCCAGGTTCAAGTGATTTTCCTGCCCCAGCCTCCCAAATAGCTGGGATCACAGGCCCACGCCACCATGTCCAGCTAATTTGTGTTTTTAGTAGAGATAAGGTTTCATCATATTGGTCAGGCTGGTCTCAAACTTCTAACCTCAGGTGATCCACTTGCCTCAGCCTCCCAAAGCGCTGGGATTACAGGTGTGAGCCACAGCACCCAGCCTTGTTTTTAAGATTTCAAGAAGGATGATGACAGCTCCTGAAGATAAGGAACATGCAAGTGAAGGGTCAACTTTTCTAAAGGGAGAACGTTGGAAATTTTACAAGAACCAATTAACTCTGTAATTTGAGAAAATTCTAGAAAACAGAACCCAGCCGATCATAGCAAACTCCTGAAACAGTATAAAAATGTGAGATATTACTGGCTGACTGTGAACATCATCTTGCGGTAGAAAATCATGCCAAAGTGAGTCAAATATAGTGGACAATGATGAGTTCTTCAGATAAAAAGGAAGTAATAGATATAATCTACAGAGTTCAGTTAAGCTTTTTATCTTGTCTGATATGATAGTCTCCTCAATGAGCTAAATTGTTACCATTGTAGGAGGGAATGAGGGGATCCCTCAGGGGGGTTCTCAGAAGCTCTACACCACTCTTAGGTGGGCATTTCAAGTGGTCCCCCACTGGGGTTTATCCCTCCGCTGGGTTGATTTTAGTGTCCTTTTTTTTTTTTTTTGAGATGGAGTTTCACTCTTGTTGCCCAGGCTGTAGTGCAATGGCAGGATCTCAGCTCACTGCAACCTCCACCTCCCAGGTTCAAGTGATTCTCCTGTCTCAGCCTCCCAAGTAACTGGGATTACAGGCACCCACCCCCACACCCAGCTTATTTTTGTATTTTTAATAGAGACGGGGTTTTGCCATGTTGGCCAGGCTGGTCTCAAACTCCTGATCTCAGGTAATCTGCCCACCTTGGCCTCCCAAAGTGCTGGGATTACAGATGTGAGCCACTGTGCCTGGCCAGATTTTAGTGTCTTAACCAACAACCTCATAAAGGGCTTATAACAGCAGCTGACAAATTAGGTAGTGTTATTATCATGAAATTGAGAATATGCCTGTTAAGCTAAAAAAAAGAAAAAAAAAAGGATCTTCTAAATCCAAGTCCAGTGCTCTTGACACAGTACTGTGCAGGGCAGGACCGGCCCACACAAACCCCTGAGAGGAGCTGGCAGGCTCACAGGGGAAGCACACACATATTGGCAGCATAGCTAAAGGAGCTGGGCCATGGCCATTTCCAAAGCTCCAAGCATGGGAGGCACCTGAATTGGAAGAAATTTGGGGGGAGTAGAAGTGGGATAAGGGAGGCAAATGTAAGTACATGTTACAGTTAGATTCTGAGAGGGAGTTCTTGAAAGAGCTAGTTACTTGTCTGAAGCAAACGGGAAACAGATACTTCTCTTAACAGTACAACGTACTCATTGTCTTTCTCTATAATTTTCATTTATTGAGCACCTACTATAGGCCCTCTGCTGGGGTTCCATCATCATGAGGGTGATCTCATTGTCAGAGCAATTCCACACTGCTCTGGTCTCTCCAGCCACAGCCCAGGACATTCCACAAAGCACGAAGCAGGAAAGAGGAAACAAGTTCACTTACCTGGCCTGCCAGGTTGAAGTAAGAATGGTTGGTCAGATTGACTGGTGTGGCCTGACTAGCCTGTGCTCTATAGTTGACCACGAGCTCCCCGCCATCCAGGGTGTATGTCACCCAGACTTTTAACTCTCCGGGGTAGCCTTCCTCACCATCTGGACTGACACGTGAGAACTGGACGCCATTGGACAGCACCCGAGGGGTCCAGAGCACCTGGAAAAAAGTGTTTTCAAAGTTGTGTAGTTGCTCCAACCTCAAGCTAAATGCCACATTTCAATATTTAAAGGCAATTGATTTCACAAGGAAAATGGTTACAATTAATTAAGACTTTTGAATGGTAGCTTGGATTTTTTTTTTTTTGAGACAGGGTCTCACTCTGTTGTCTAGGCTGGAGTGCAGTGGCGTGATCTCGGCTCACTGCAACTTCCACCTCCCAGGTTCAAGTGATTCTTGAGCCTCAGCCTCCTGAGCAGCTGTGATTACAGGCATGAGCCACTGTGCCCAGCTAATTTTGTATTTTTCGTAGATAAGGAGTTTTACCATGATGGCCAGGCTGGTCTCAAACTCCTGACTTCAAGTGATCCGCCTGCATTGGCCTCTGAAGGTGTTGGGATTACAGGCGTGAGCGACCGCACCCAGTCCCTGGATTTTAGTTATTCCAAATTTTTGTTTTCTCTACCTACTCACACTCCCCATTCTCTTTTCTCTAAATTTATACATACATGTGTATCTACAATATTTTCCTCTCCTCTTCTTTGATGATTTTTCTTTGATTTTTTTTATCTTGGAGCACCACTCTGCTAAATGCCATATAGCAATATCTGCTGAGAGTACTAAAAAGCTTTAATAAATCAGCCCCTGTCTCCGGGGGGTACCATATACAAATATTTGTTAAAAGCCCTGCAAGTTTCTCTGTGCTCCCTAGTCAGAGTTCAAAACAAATAAGACATCTGTGCCATTAAGAAGAGTTGTAGCCCACAAGTCAGGAGTCTGATTCAGGGGGGCCTCATTTGTCCCTCGCTCATTGTGTGACTCTAGGCATTAATCTCTTTCATCAAACAAGGAGGTTGAAGAAATTATCTCAAAGTTTCTTCTTGTTCTAGAAAATATGATTCTAACACTGGCAAAAAAACAAAGTATGAAGAAGAGCTTATTCTGAAAGGTTTTGGGGGCCAGGTGCAACAGCTCATGCCTGTAATCTCAACACTTTGGGAGGCTGAAGCAGGAGGATTGCTTGAGTTCAGTTCAAAATCAGCCTGAGCAACATAGTGAGACTTCATCTCTAAAAAAGTTAAAAAGGCCAGGTGCAGTGGCTCATGCCTGTAATCCCAGCATTTTGGGTGGCTGAGGTGGGTGGATCATGAGGTTGGGAGTTCAAGACCAGCCTGGCCAACATGGTGAAACCCAGTCTCTACTAAAAATACAAAAATTAGCCTGGTGTGGTGGCTGGCGCCTGTAAACCCAGCTACTAGGGAGGCTGAGGCAGAGAATCACTTGAATATGGGAGGTGGAGGTTATAGTGAGCCGAGATCACTCCACTGCACTCCAGCCTGGGCAATGGAATTAGACTCCATCTTAAAAAAAAAAAAAAAGTTTTAAAAATTAGCTAGGTGTGGTGGTGCACACCTGTAGTCCCAGCTACTTGGGAGGCTGAGAAGAGAGGATTACGTGAGCCCAGGAGGTTGAGGCTGCAGTGAGCTGAGATTGTGCATACCACTGCACCATCTGGGTAACAGAGTAAGACATTGTCTCTAAATAAATAAGTAAATAAAAAGCTTTTTGCTTTTGGAAATAGGAATTGGAATCTTGGATTAACATAGTGGTTGTTCTCAACTTTGTCCTAGAGGCCCTAAGATTGATTACACTTATAGGGAAGAGAAAACCAACATTTATCAGGTACCCATTATGAGTCAGGATGCTCTGCTAGAAACTTCACAGATATTATCTCATCTGTCTTAAAGCAGACTTAAAGTAGATACCATCATCCTCATTGAATAATGACAGAATGGAGGCTCAGTGAGCTAAACCACTTGCCCCAAGCCACACAGTTAGTGCACAGCATTGGACTGGATCCTGAGCCTGTTCCCTTATTCTATACTATCAGGGGATGAGTTGGCCAGAGATTCCCAGTCCTTTTAGAGAGCTCTGGGATGATTAATGAAGGGGCCTGTTGCAGGCGTGAGACCTCCAGTGTGTTGAGTGCTCAATAGTCAATGACCTGGTGCTTTACATAAATCATCTTGTAAGGTAAAGATTTGGTTGAACCAAATGAAATAACCGTCATCATAGGTCAAAACAGTTGAACCCTGGTAATTTCATACAGCTTCAACAAATATTATTTACCCCCATTTCATAGATGAGCAAATTGAGTTCAGTGGAGTTAACTCATCCTCTACGTTCCACATCCCAGTGTGTGTCTGGGCGGTGGGGGAGTTTCATATTTTCTGTCCATTGTTTAAAAGGAAAAAGAATCTTGTTTAAAGTCACAAATGTGGCCAGGCATGGTGGCTCACACCTATAATCCCAGCACTTCAGGAGGCCAACACGGATGGATCACTTGAGGTCAGGAGTTCGAGACCAGCCTGGCCAATATGGTAAACCCAAAAATGATCCCGGCGTGGTGGCTTATGCCCGTAATCCCAGCTACTCAGGAGGTTGAGGCAGGAGAATCACTTGAACCTGATACGGGGAGCTTGTAGTGAGCCGAGATCACACCACGGCACTCCAGTATGGGGAACAGAGCGAGACTCCGTCTCAAAAAATAAATAAATAAAGTTATCCATGTGATTTGTGACAGAGCTGGGGTTCAAATTCATGTCTGGCCGTCTCCACTATTCCACATCTTAGTCTTGGCAAAGTTTTTGTTTGAATCTTCCTTTTCAACTGAAGAGTTGAGGCCAAACTCATAGACTTGAAGGATAACAGCCTCTGTGGGTCATGGGAGAGGCCTATGAGCCCAGGCTCTGCCTCACAGGCGTGGCATTTGCCAGGAAGGAGAGCCCAGCAGGAACGGAGGTCTCTGCCTTCACCTACAGTGAAAGCAGCTGGTATGTGAAATACTTTCACTGAGCTTCGTGAAAAACTAATTTTACACCCTAGTTATCTCCCAGAAAGGCTGAACTTTCATGACATTCAAAATATGATGCCTGTTACATGTGTAATTAAAAAAGAAATCAAATATCCCAAATGAAACATTTCAGTAATTAAATGTTTGAAATGAATCTTAACTTACTACCTAGTTTTTCTTTTGTAGAGAAATGACACGATGGAAAGATTTTTGTGTAAACCAGTATGATTGGTTAAGTATAATTCCTATTCATGGAAAGATTTCCCTGAGCCTGTAGTTTCCAAATTTACAGCTCTACACCTTTTTTTTTTTGGAGATAGAGTCTGCTCTGTTGCCGAGGCTGGAGTGCAGTAGCGTGATCTCAGCCCGCTGCAACTTCCGCCTTCAGGGTTCATGCAATTTTCCTGTCTTAGCGTTAAGTAGCTGGGACTACAGGTGCCTGCCACCATACCTGGCTAATTTTTCTATTTTTAATAGAAACAGGGTTTCACCATATTGGTCAGGCTGGTTTCAAACTCCTGACCTCAAGTGGTCCACCCTCCTTGGCGTCCCAAATGTTGGGATTCCAGGCATGAGCCACCACACCCGGCCACAGATCTACACCTTCTTATACCATTTCAAATCCTGTCAGGTTATTCAACTTTCATCTTTAAAAAAAAAATGTGTTGGTATAAATAGAAAAACACATACCTTCAAACCAACAATTATTCAGTCATTGTTGAGACATAACACAAAGTAAAACGAAGTTCATCTGATGGGCACGTGGCACTATGTCAAAATCGACTGTTCAAAAACTCAGTGGCTTCACAAAAATGTTCAAAGTCTTTCCCCACCCCCTCAGGCCACTGTGCAGCCATTCTCTCTCATATCCATGTATTGAATGAAATGCTATTGGCTCTTCAAGGGCAGTCCCAATCCCACCTCCTAGGGTGCTATTCATTTGTTCACACCCAGTCCCTACAGCGCATTACTGGCATCTGGTACAGGGATGCTTGTGGCCACTTATCTGTAACAGTTATCATGTGAGAGTCCCCTCCCTCATTGTACTGTGCGTCTCAGGAGTCCCCGGCCTACTATGCCCCCAACTTCACAGAAGAGGCTGAAGGGCACACTGCACTGAAGGCTACGTACACTCACAATTTTGCTGTGTTCATGAAGGGAATATAAGTTAAGCAACGCCGTGGAAAATGCCACAGTGAAGAGGGTGAGCAGGAGCAAGCTGGAACAAGGTGCTCTGCTTGATGAAGAGCCCTGTCTGATGCCCGGCTGAGCCTTACTTCCTCTGGTTGGGATTTGCCTATGACCCTGGCATGTTCTAGAGACTCTCTGTCCTCATACTGGCAGAGCAGATGCTGTCCTTTGCCTCCCTGGCATGAAGAGTCCCATCACCAAGGAAAGGGAAACTCATGGGGCAGTCGGTCTGGTTCCAGGCCACTAGCAGGAAGCTCTTGGGAGAGGGGACGCCAGAGCCACCAGCCTCCTTCCACAGGACAGGTGGTAGTCAGAAGCAGAAGAGAAGAAATGGTGCCCATTAGTGGCCATACATGTTCCTGTCTTCTCTGGCTCTTCTCTAGCAATTATACAACTGGGTGGTATAATTTTTTTTTTTTTGAGATGGAGTCTTGCTCTGTCACCCATGGTGGAGTGTAGTGGTGCAATCTCAGCTCACTGCAATCTCCTCTTGGGTTCAAGTGATTCTCTTGCCTCAACCTCCCAAGTAGCTGAGACTACAGGCACCTGCCACCATGCCCAGCTAATTTTTGTATTTTTAGTAGATATGGGGTTTCACCATATTGGCCAGGCTGGTCTCGAACTCCTGACCTTGTGATCCACCCACCTCAGCCTCTCAAAGGGCTGGGATCAAAGTGCACTGTGCCTGGTCCTAGGTGGTATAATTTAAAAGAAAGTTAACTATTGAAATTTATTCCTTCACAGCCTGAAATTAGACTAGTAAGAGAGCAATCACTGGGATTAACCCGTAGATTCTCATGGGGCTAGGAAGCAGAAGGCCAGGTAGTCCCACCTCAGGGAGAAGCTGTTTGATCAATTTGCTTTCCCGACCTTGTTTTCCAGGGATTCACTTGGAGAATGAAGTTTTCCTGTGGAGAGGAGGAAGTGGGGAGAATCTGAGATGATTTCGAGGCCTGAGGCACTTCAGTGGAAGGGCAGGCCTCAGTGCAGGGCCATGATGCCTGGGGAGGGGGTCTCAACAACAGTTGCAGGGAAGCGTGTTGCATGGGGTAACCCATGTGGCCTGGGTGGACACCAGCAGCTGTGGTGTAGGAATGAGGGTTTCAAGCCAGGCAGCCCTGGTTCTCCCACTTAGAAGTCATGTGGCCTTTTATTTGTTTTTTATTTTTTTGAGATGCAGTCTGGCTCTGTTGCCCAGGCTAGAATGCAATGGCGCAATCTCAGCTCACTGCAACCTCCACCTCCCAGGTTCAAGTAATTTTCCTGCTTCAGCTTCACAAGTAGTGGGATTACAGGTGCCGGTCACCACACCCAGCTAAGTTTTGTATTTTTTGTAGAGACAGGGTTTCACCATGCCACCAGGCTGGTCTTAAACTTCTGACCTCAGGTGATTTGCCTGCCTTGGCCTCCTAAAGTGCTGGGATTACAGGCATGAGCCACCGGGCCTGGCCACGTGGACTTTTAGTGCCTCAGTTTTCCCATTTAGTAAGGGTAAGAGAGAATATATGTCAATGTCTTGTGCAATAACTGGAAGATGCTGTTATCAATCCACATTTCTTCAACCCAACTCCCTGATCTCAACACTGTGAAAAAGTTGTTTCTCGTTTTTCTAAGTCAGGGGCGGACATCCTTTCTCTTGGGGCTCCCTTATCTGTTACAACAGAGGAGCTAGAGAAGAATGAGTCTTGGCACGTGGCCATTGCACCTGCTGCCCTGAACCATGGGAGCAGCCTCTTTCCTGCATCTCCTGACCACACATGTGCTCTAGGGCCTAGGACTGTGCCTGGCAAGCAGAAGATATGTGTCAAGTGAGCGTGAAGGAAACTCAGTCACATGCACCGGACTCACCTTATCAAACCCTCTGACTCCTCCATGCAGACTGTTGGGTTCCTTGTTAAGGGCCAGGCAATACTCCTTCCCATCCACCTTGAAGGTTCCTTTGGCGATTCGGTTGGCCACCCTCCCAACAACTGCTCCAAAGTACGGCTGCTTTTGGAGGTATCCTGCAAAGACAAGGGATGATAACACTTCTAAAACTTCAATCCAAAGGTGTGTTGCATGTCACTGTCCCCCACCTTCTTCTGAGGGATGCTACACATGGTACATCTTGGACATGTCAGAGTCCTCACCGAATCACAGAAAATGGCTCTCACTACATATGACCCTTTCCTTTTCCAAAAGTAATTAATGTTCATTATACAAAATTGTAAAGAATTTGATATAGCACAAAGAAAAAACTGAAATTATCCTTCATCTTCATCTCATCACTAGAGAGAACCACTGTTAATATTCTTTTTTTTGAGATGGAGTCTTGCTTTGTTGCCCAGGCTGGAGTGCAATGGCACTATCTTGGCTCACTGCAACCTCCACCTCCCAGGTTCAAGCGATTCTCCTGCCTCAGCCTCCCAAGTAGCTGGGATTACAGACACACGTCACCATGCCCAGCTAATTTTTGTATTTTTAGTAGAGATGGGGTTTCAGCATGTTGGCCAGGCTGGTCCCGAACTTCCAATCTCAGGTGATCCGCCTGCCTCGGCCTCCCAAAGTGCTGGGATTACAGGCGTGAGCCACCACGTCTGGCCTTCTCTCTCTCTTTCAAAACATTTTATTGTACTGTATGCACCTATTTTCAGTCCAAAGTTGATTCTGGGTAACTGAAACTGCAGGAAGCAAAACTATGGATGAAGGGGGCCTAAACACAATTTTGTAATGTCTTTTCTCTAGGCCGAAATTATACTTTTGTGTGGTCTTGAAGGAAAACTATCTTATTCTTCTTTCTCTTCTTATTTTTTTAATAACATAATTAGCACATTAAAATATCCTTTAGAGAGAGTTAGGTAATACACAAGGACATAGAGTAGGCTCACCAGAGGAAGTATAGAATGCTTGGTTAAATGCGAGTTTCGGATAAACAATAAGTAATTGCTTAGTGTAAGCATGTTCATGTTATTATTATACATGGGACATACTTATTATACTTTAAAAGTATAAATTGTTTATCTGAAATTCACATTTAACCAGGCATCCTGTACTTTTATTTGTGAAATCTAGCAATCTAAACAAAGAGTGAAACACAAAAGCCTTCCTTCACCTCTCCACTCCCCTCCTTTCCAATGGTAACCACTATTCCCACTATTCACAGTATGGTATGTACACTTCATTCTTAAATTCAGATTAACTACATATAAGCAAATATACAAATACACAAGCACACATATTCTATATAAACAGAATCATACTACATAGAGCATCACACTATAATCATACATTTTTCTGTAACTTCCCATTTATCAAATATCTTAAGATCTCTCCATGTCATGACATATCTAACATATTCCTTTTTTTTTTTTTTTTTGAGATGGAATCTTGCTCTGTCGCAATCTTGGCTCACTGCAACTTCCGTCTCCTGGGTTCAAGCAATTCTTCTGTCTCAGCCTCCTGAATAGCTGGGACCACAGGTGCGTGCCACCACGCCTGGCTAATTTTTGTATTTTTAGTAGAGATGGGGTTTCGCCATGTTGGCCAGGATGGTCTCAATATCTCGACCTCATGATCTGCCCACCTCGGCCTCCCAAAGTGCTGGGATTACAGGCGTGAGCCACCGCACCCGGCTACCATATTCCTTTTTATCCTTTTAGATAGGATCTCACTGTCCCCCAGGCTGGAGTGCTGTGGAGCCATCATAGCTCACTGTAGCCTTGACCTCCCAGGCTCAAATGATCCTCCCACCTCAGCCTCTGGAGTAGCTGGGACAACAGATATATAGCACCATGCCTGACTAATTTTTTTACTTTTTATCACAGAGTTTCCCTGTGATGCCTAGTCTGGTTTTGAACTCCTGGGTTCAAGTGGTCCTCCCACCTTGGCCTCCCAAAGTGTCGGGATTACTGACTGGCATGAGTCGCCATGTCTGGCCCCATATTCCTTGTGATGGCTATGTGGTATAATAATCAGCATAAGCTGTTTTGGGCCTTTTTAGGGGAGGGGCTATAAAAAAGCAACGTAGCTTTCTCATACTTACAACTTTGCACGTGGACATATTATGGTACTTTCCTTATCTTTAAATTCCTCTGTGCTTAGTTTGCAATGGAAAAGATTAAGGTTTGGAGATTGTTTTCTGTATCATCACTAAGATTACTTTCTACTCTATTTTCCACTTAGATGCCCTCTGAATTCCATTCCCTTTTCCCATAGTACTCTGTATCTGTCATGTCTACTTCAGATCAGCAGAGAATGCAATTCAAGCATATGAACTATTTTTCCACGGGACGGAGGGGCCCTCAGGATACAGACCCTGAGCTGACTAGGCCAGCAACAGGTCATAGGTTTCCATTACCCAACTGGTTGGGTACAAATTAAACATTAATCCTTCCCTTCCAGGCCTTTCCTGGTTTGCTTCTTTGCTAACCTGCAGGTGCGTCAGAGTCCTGCCCATGGACTATCATATTAGCTAACACCTACTGAGTGCTTAGAAAGCACTTTCCAATGTGGCTGAAAGCCACTTTCTTTTTCTTCTTTTTTTTCCTTTTTGAGATGGTGTAGTCTAGGCTGGAGTGCAGTGGCACAGTCTTGGCTAACTGCAACCTCCACCTCCTGGGTTCAAGCGATTCTTCCGCCTTGGCCTCCCGAGAGATTACAGGTGCCCGCCACCAAGTTTGGCTAATTTTTTTTGGTATTTTTTTTATCATTATGCAAAACAATTTTTTGTATTTTTAATAGAGATGGGGTTTCACCACATTGGTCAGACTGGTCTTGAACTCCTGACCTCAGGAGATCCACCCACCTTGGCCTCCCAAAGGGTGTCCCAGCCACTTTCTAAGTGCTCTCCATCTCCCTCATTTCATATTCAGAACGTTTCTATGATGTAGATATTATTAGTATCCCAATTTACAGATGTGGAAACTGAGGACAGAGGAATTAAGCAAGTTGCCCCAAAACACACAACTAAGTAGTGGCAGAACCAAGACTTTAGCCCAGCCAGTGTAGCTGGTGAGTCCATGTTCTTCAATATCAAATTATGTGGAAAGCAAAGGCTTTTTGGTTGTTGACCTTAACTCCATCCCAGGCACAGGCCAGGCTGATCTTTCTCCACCTCTCCCACCCTCTTCTCTTTCCGAAACTAGCTTTAAAACCCCATATACTGGTTAACCAAAAGGAGTCCCGAAGAGCCAAACAATCATTCTTTGTTTTGTTTCATCTGCTTTCACAAGCTCAAAAATGTAAATAAACACTTCTTGTTTTTTCTAAAAAACAAGATGTTTGACTGCTGAGATTTTTGAGAACTACTTTGATTTATTCAACAAATGAACTGAGCTCCCGCTCTCTGCCAGAGGCATACTGGGTGTTGGAGACAGCCTCAAAGCCACCGGTAGGTTTCCTACCACGTGGGCTTGCAAGAATTTCCTTACAAGTGACCAGGCCAGTTCCTTGGTTTGGAGGAATAGGTGTTTTGTTTTGTTTTGCTTTTTTTCCATAATTATCAGGGTTTTTGTTTGTTTGTTTGTTTGTTTGTTTTTGAGACAGGGTCTTTCTTTGTCACCTAGGCTGGAGTGCAGTGGTACCATCGTGGCTCATTGCAGCCTTGGCCTCCAGGCTCAGGTGATCCTCCCACCTCAGCCTCCCAAATAACTGGGACTACAGGCGTGTGCCACCACACCTGGATACTTTTTATATTTCTTCTAGAGACAGAGTGTCCCTACATTGGCCAGGCTGGTGTTGAATTCCTGAGCTCAAGTGATCCTCCCACCTCGGCCTTTCAAAGTGCTGGGATTACAGGAGTGAGCCACTGTGCCCCTGGAGGAATAGTTTTTAAGAATTAAAGTCTAAGCACAACAGAAACCACTAATTCTGTCTCTGAAAAACCCTTTAGAACAAATAAACTTTATACTACCTTCAAATATGACTGATATGGTTTGGCTTTGTGCCCCCACCTAGTGGGGGTAATTGGATCATGGGTCGGTTCCCCCATGCTGTTCTCGTGACAGTCAGTGAGTTCTCACGAGATCTGATGGCTTAAAAGTGGCAATTTCTGTAATCCCAGCACTTTGGGAGGCCGAGACGGGCAGATCACGAGGTCAACAGATCGAGACCATCCTGGTCAACATGGTGAAACCCCGTCTCTACTAAAAATACAAAAAAATTGGCTGGGCATGGTGGCGCGTTCCTGTAATCCCAGCTACTCAGGAGGCTGAGGCGGGAGAATTGCCTGAACCCAGGAGGCAGAGGTTGCGGTGAGCCGAGGTTGCGCCATTGCACTACAGCCTGGGTAACGAGAGCGAAACTGTCTCAAAAAAAAAAAAAAGTGGCAATTTCCCTTGCTTTCTCTCTCTCTCCTACCACCATGTAATAAGACCTGTCTTGCTTCTGCCTTGCCTTCTGCTATGCTCGTAAGTTTCCTGAGGCCTTCCCATCCATGAGAAACTGTGAGTCTATTAAACCTATTTTCTTTATAAATTACTCTGCCTCAGGCAGTTTTTATAACACTGTGAAAATGGACTAATACCATAATTAAGCTTTCATGTCAAATCAGAATTACAAAAAGTGATAATTCCCAAATCCCAAATAAGGCATGGCTAAAAATTTGTTTTGAAATGCAGAAAATACCCGTTTGCCATGAAAATGTTCAAAGTTCCTAGGTCAAGCTGTGAATGTTGATTTAACTAAGTCAATTGCTGAGCTGAGAGTAGAGGAAACGCTGCCCCTTTTCCAGGGCAAAGCACTGGCAAGAATAAATTAATGCTTAAAACCATGGGATATGGCCCTTTCCACTCTAACATCCCAAGGACCTCAACTGTGACACCCACCTCGGACAGCCCAAACCTTAGCCAGAGTGCTCTAAAGTCTGAAATAAAATTACCACTCTCAGTCAAAACCTCCATCCACAGAATGACTTATCCTTTGGTTTTATGAGGAAAACAATTTAATTAACGAGCACGTTAGTAATTTCAAATAATTTATATACTTTTTAGCAGCTGCTTGCTGTCCTAGGTGAATCTCCATGCCATTTTTTGCAGTGTTAATGAAGTGAAATGAAAAGTTCTAGTAGAGTGAGAGATGGTATTTGGGGCAAAGGAAAGAAAGGGGGATAAAAATGATTAATTGCTCACTCTGGTCAGAGGCATATAAAATATGTGGTCAGATATGGTCAGACACATATCACAGCCCACAGCTCATTACATCATCACAATCCATTTGTTTCATTGAGGAAATAGGTCTGGAGAGGTTAAATAAATTGCCTAGGGTCACACAGCTTTAAGGAAGGAAGCAGAGCTTTAAACCAGTAATCCTTAGTGTTCCCACCAGGATGCAGCCTCTAACCTGATCCTTTTTCCCCCTCATCCTCTCTTCTGAACCCATGTTTTCTAAAGGCACTAAATTTACTTTTTTTATTTTTTCTTAATGCCTCTTATGGCAGTTAACAGCCAGGTCTTTGGTGATAACTGGGGGAAACATGAAAAGGAAGGCATTTCAATGATTGTATGGGTAGCTTGTTTATACCTATGGCATATAAGCAAATATTCTCAGCACAGGCTTTGAAACAAATCATAATGACTGTAGGTGGGACATACCAATTAAAAACATTTTTAGGCTGGGCCTGGTGGCTCATACCTATAATCCCAGCACTTTAGGAGGGTGAGGCTGAGGCGGATCATTTGAGGTCAGGAGTTTGAGACCAGCCTGGTCAACATGGCGAAACCCTATCTCTACTAAAAAGACAAAAATTAGCTGGGTGTGGTGGTGGCCACCTGTAATTCCAGCTGCTCGGGAGGCTGAGGCATGAGAATTGCTTGAACCCAGGTGGTGGAGGTTGCAGCGAGCCAAGATTCCACCATTGCACTAAACAACAAGAAAGTCTTAAATACAAAAAGTGGTAGAAAAACTCATAGGAGGCATTACTGATTTTTTCCAGGCTGTAACTAAAAATTCACATAATTTTCCTCTTTAGAATTCTATGGAAGTAAAAAATCCGATTTTCCCAAGGAGAATCTGAACCATTCTGACCTCTGGTTATGGCTGTCATCCAAGCAATTTATATAACCTGTCTGGGACATTGGAGATTATTCATATCTAACTCTGCAGTTACAAAAAGATCATGTCTCATGGAATTATCCACACTCGGATCTTTCCCATGGCTCAAAGCCATTTTTGGGACATGGTAACATTAAGATAACCCCTTATTCTGTCAAGTCTTAAAAAAATTTTTTTTTAATTTAAATTTAATTTTGTGTGTTTTGTAGAGACAGGGTCTCACTATGTTGCCCAGGCTGGTCTCACACTCCTGGCTTCAAGTGATCCTCCTGCTTTGGACTCCCACAGTGCTAGGATTATAGGTATGAGCCACCATGCCGGCCTCTGTCATGTCTTATTACTTTAAATTATTTGCTTCTGTTTGTTTATATATACTTACATACTCTGACGTTTTAAAAGAATATACAGTGAAAATTAAGTCTCCTTCCTACCCCCTGCACCCTGGATACCCGGGACCCTTTCTTAACAACCACTGTCACCAGTTTCTTGTTAAGATGGGTTTTAATGCACCAGAAATGCAGTATCAGAGCACCATTAAAATAGTTAACAGAGTGCTCTATATCTCCATTGTAAGGGTCACACCCCATACCTCTACAACAAACACAAGTTAACAAGAGAAAAGCAAAACAGCTGGGCACAGTGGCTCATGTCTGTAATCCCAGCACTTTAGGAGGCCGAAGTAGGAGGATTGCTTGAGGCCAGTAGTTCGAGGCTGCAAGTGAGCTATAATTGCATCACTGCACTCCAGCCTGGGTGACAGAGCGAGGCTCCACCTCTAAAAAATAAAATTTTTTAAATGTCAAACAAATTTATTTCATTATAGTTTGATGTGACACAGGAGCTTTCAGAATGAAGACCAACAGATACAGAGGAAACAATCCATTTTTATGCTTAGGTCCAGTGGAGTAGAAACAGCCATGCAGAAATATGATTGGACAAAATGGGTAAGATCTGTTGCTGACAGAGTGAGCGGGGAAACTCAGCAAGGCCTGTGTTCAGATTTTTCTTGGCCTCCCCATGCAGCATTCCTTCCTCCGGGATATGGGGCAGGACCCCTCTGGAATGAGGGTCTTAATTTCTTTATGGTCAGCTGTTACACAGAAAGGTTAGAGTGTATTTTTATTTATTTTTTATTTTTTTGAGACGGAGTCTCACTCTGTCACCCAGGCTGGAGTGCAGTGGTGCCCTACCAGCTCACTGCAACCTCCGCTTCCTGGGTTCAAACAATTCTCCTGCCTCAGCCTCCCAAGTAGCTGGCATTACAGATGCCAGCCACCAACCTAGCCAACATGCCGAAACCCCATCTCAACTAAAAATACAAAAAATATTAGCCAGGTGTGGCGGCGCACACCTGTAATTCCAGCTATTCAGGAGGTTGCAGCAGGAGAATTGCTTGAATCCGGGAGGTGGAGGTTGTAGTGAGCTAAGATTGCACCACTGCACTCTAGCCTGGGTGACAGAGCAAGACTCTGTCCTCTCAAAAAAAAAAAAAAAAAAAAAAAGGCACCAGAAATCATGGTAGTTATTGTCCTCAAATCCTTGATAGGTATTTTATTTATTCACCCTCAACACCGACATCCTGGCTGATGGAGAAATGAGAGGATGGCCCATCTCCAATTACTTTAACTGGCTCTGGAATTCTAGGCCAGAAATCCAACACTCGTTTGACTCTATGGAGTGATTTTGCATGAGTCAAGTAATGTCTTTGCAATTCTGTGTCAGCCTAGACAATGGTTATGCTACTAGAACAGAGAGGACTCAGCGAAATGATTCCAAAGGATCCTCTTTTGTCACTTGCTGGCCCTCTTGCCTTCTGACTCTGAAGATGTCTTCCCTAGAAGTTTCAGGGGAGGTAGAAAGGAAGGGGAGGCGGAACTTATTTCCCTCACCTGCCTGTACCTTCCTACCAGTAAATCTCCTGCAACAGACTCACATAAATTACCAATGACCTGCTTCGGAAAGAAGGCTGCCTCCTTCTCCTCCAAGTTAAGCTGTAGAGGCACCAAAGCAGATAAAGACAATTATAAGCCAAGAATAGGATGCTCAGGAATATATTTACAATAAGTTTTATTAAATAAGCCGAGAACAGGCCAGGCGCAGTGGCTCATGCCTGTAATCCCAGCACGTTGGGAGGCCAAGCTGGGCAGATCACCTGAAGTCAGGAGTTTGAGACCAGCCTGGCCAACATGGTGAAACCCTGTGTTTACTAAAAATACAAAAAAATTAGCTGGGCCTGGTGGCACATGCCTGTAATCCCATCCAGTCAGGAGGCTGAGGCAGGAGAATCACTTGAACCCAGAAGGCAGAGGTTGCAGTGAGCCAGGATTGCACCACAGCACTTAAAAAAAAAAAAAAAAAAAACCCAGGTGTGGTGGCTCACATATGTAATCCCAACACTTTGGGAGATTAAGGCAGGTGGATCACAAGGTCAGGAGTCAAGACCATTCTGGCCAACATGGTGAAACCCCATCTCTACAAAATACAAAAAATTAGCCGGGTGTGGTGGTGCATGCCTATAGTCCCAGCTATTTGGGAGGCTGAAGCAGAAGAATTGCTTGAACCTGGGAGGCGGAGTTTGCAGTGAGCCAAGATCACACCACTACACTCCAGCCTGGCAACAGAGTGCGACTCTGTCTTAAAAAAAAAAGAAAAAAAGAGAACAAATTTCAGATTTCTAAGGGAAAAAAACAAAACTCAGAGTTTTCTGTTGAACCTCAAACCATGAGCCAAGTTTTGTATCTAAAGAACCAGACAGAATGACACACCGAAAGGAAAACCTCAAACCTCCTCTCCAGCAGAATTTGTCTACACCCAACCACTGAGCAGAGGTATTAATTCTCAATTTCCCTTTGCCAGCTTTATTTCACACCTCATTTTCTGTCTAGTTACACCATAATGCTAAGAGAGCATGACGTACATTTTCCTTTGTTGCAATCAAGCTGCAATTGTCATTATTTATTTATGCAATTACTGGGTTAAAGTCTATCTCTCCAGGCAAACCCCAAGAGTGGGGACCTTGTCTGTCCTGTAAGATGAGGTCATTGAATTAATAGTTTTCAAATGTATGAATTAATGCCTAATTCTAATTGCCTATGGTTTCTGGGATAAAAGACCATTCTAGTTGGTAGGAGACCTGATCTCCAGACACCGAGTTGGTCTTCTCTGTTTTGTTCCCTAAATGGTTATTGGGTAGCTGGTATACTAGGCAACCACTGAGCTTACTGGAGCATTTCTGAGATAACCAGGCCTCAAAGAGAATCTGATCAAGGAAGAAGGAAGTAGAAGAGGCAAGTCCTTGAATTTCCTCCTTCAGAAGGGTCACAAGGGAAGAACTGGGAGCCACACCCCCCCCTTGCCTGCTCTTTCCTCTCCAGCCTTCTCAATGGGTCAGGCAGTTCAAAGATCAGGCAGTTCAGCGGTTGCTCCACGATCGATGAAGTGTATCTTACCATCAGCTGACTTTTTACATTAATTGGGGCAAAGCCTGAACGGATAACCAGAGGCCAACTCCCAAAGCTTTTTCTATTCATGACTGTTTTTCTCAAACATCGGATGGCCACCCAGCCCTCTGTTAGCATGACGCACGCGCTCCCAAGTTAGACGGCGACTTTCCCCTCAGCCCCTCGCATTGCAAGTGGCCCAATCGATCCGGGAGGTCTGCAGCCGGGGGCCGGCTCGCTGCCCGGGGCAGAGTTCAACCCACCTTCCAAGTCGGCGAAGCCAAGCACCACGTCTGAGGCTCTCCCCTGCCTATCTTTGACTTCTATGGCTGTGATTGTGCAGCCCCAGGAGATAATGTCCACTCTCAGGAGGTCAGACTGCAGCCGGAACTTCTCCACTGTCCCTCCTCCCGAGGGCAGCTCTCCAAACACGGCTCTGGTAACCGAACCCATGGGGAAAGTTTGGGGTGTGCGGCTACTGCCCGCTCGTCAGACTCCAGAGCGTTAAGCTAGGGGCTGCCCGAGTTTACAGGGAAAGGGGCGTGACTCGGCTCAGACGCCTCCCTTTCCTTGCCTGAATTTAGGGAGTGACCGCTCCTGCAAAAAATAGCCCTTGGGCCTTTCGAAATCATTCCTTTGCCTGAGGGTAACAGAGGGGCAAACTTTGCAGCCACGCTTGCAAGGTTTTTTCCCTGGGCTCTCCCAGGTTGCATTGCATGTTGGGAATGGTAGTTTTTGGGAGGTGAAATTGCATTTTGGGGCCTGTAGTCTTTCTAAACTCAAATCCTGAGTTGACAGTGTTGTACCCCCATCTCCGCGCACCTCAACATACAGTGAGCTGGTCATTCACGTTGGTGGCTATTTCCATTCTTTTTGTCCCACGGATGAAGTCCTGGACATGGTTCTGCTGGAGTCACTGCCCAGAAGCCTCTACTGACAGACAATGCTGTGCCAGCCTCAAGGAGCTTGGCCCAGACAGGGTCAGGTAGATGGATTAGGCCCTCCGTGTGCGGAGGTGATTAGAGACAGCCCAGACTCTCTTTACTTCCGGGGACTGGGAAGGGACCTCGAGTGTCTTCCGATTCCTGAAGGCCACAATTCCTTTAAGAAGGGATTCAGGGAGGCCTGGCACGGTAGCTCACGCCTCTAATCCCAGCACTTTGGGATGCTGAGGCGGGTGGATCACCTGAGGTCAGGAGTTCGAGACCAGCCTGGACAACATGGTGAAACCCTGTCTCTACTAAAGATACAAAAAAAAATTAGCCGGGCCTGGTGGCAGGCGCCTGTAATCCTAGCTACCTGGGAGGCTGAGGCAAAGAGAATTGCTTGAACCTGGGAGGGGGAGGTTGCAGTGAGCTGAGACAGCACCATTGCACTTCAGCCTGGGCTACAGTGCCAGACTCTGTCTCGGAGGGGTGGAGGGGTGGAGGGGTGGGGAAGGAGGGATTTGGGAAACAAATATTTATTAAGATCCTTGTAAATGCCAGGTACTGAACCTTTGTTATCTCCTTTTCTACAAGTAGGATGGAGTTTTTAGGTATGTACAGTTGGAGGGGAAAGACACTAAGGTCATTAAATAGTTGTCTTGCTTGATTGTGTCTCAGAATTATCTGAGGACATTTAACATGCATATTCCCAGGCCCACCCCTGGAATTTCTAATTCTGAAAGTCTAGAGTGAAACTCAGGAATCTGCATTTTTCATATTTTTCAAGTTATTATTCTGCAGATTATCTGGGACCAGATTTAGAGAAATACTGCTCTAAGATCTGGTGACTAATCTGAAATTTTCCCCCAAAAATAGGCTCTGTCGGCAGGATTAAGATAACGCTATTAAGGGCCTTAATGAGATAACATAGAGGCACCTATGTATTTCCTTGCTAAGTTTGGAAACTCTAGAGGAGTACTGAGCCTAGGAAGTGGGAGGGTGCTGGGAGCCTAAAGACAAGCTTTACTCAAGCCATCTGCATAATTGCCTATCTTTCCTTGATACTGCTCTTAGCTTGGTTCCTGGGTCCTTCAGAGGGTATATAGCTAGACTGTGGTGAGTGCAGAAATGCATCTTTGATGAGGAAATTAGGAGAATTGGGATCATGTGCCTGGAATCAGATGCTAATAAAACATCATAACTATCTCTCAGCCTCTTCTGTCTGTAATTTAAGGAATATTTAGCATTCTTGTCATAACGCCTCAATTCTCCATCATGAAGCAGAAGAATTCTGATAGCAGAGGAAAGAAAAAAAAAGGCTTGCAACAGGCTTTGGTGAAGCTCAACATATAATAATAAAAAGACCCAAACAAGTCAAATTATAGACTGCACCACACTCATACAATAACCGATACACACTCTTATGTGCTGCTTCATCAGAAATTCTCATAAACCCTGAGTTTCATCAGCCACTTAACTTTGTGGTTGATTCATACACAACCCTTTGGCAATGCTGCGTTAGCAAGGATGTCTTAGAATCTCTTCTATGAGCAGGAAGACCACATTTTTTTTCTCAACCTCCAGTTCTCAGTGTTCTGCCAAGCACATGCTGTTACAGAAAGAAAATGTCTCTAGGGAAGGTCTTGTTACTCCATTTGGTAGAAAATGAAATGTACCATGATGTCTCTCTTTAAATCTCAATTAAATAATTGTCTTGCTTGATTGTGTCTCAGAATTATCTGAGGACATTTAAAATGCATATTCCCAGGCCCACCCCTGGAATTTCTAATTCTGGATGAAATGTACCATGAAATCTGTACCATGATTTAAAGAGGGCTGGGCGAGGGGCCCATAATTCCAGCGCTTTGGGAGGCAGAGGCGGGTGGATCACCTAAGATCAGGTGTTTGAGACCAGCCTGACCAATATGGTGAAACCCCTTCTCTACTAAAAATACAAAAATTAGCCAGGTGTGGTGGTATGTGCCTGTAATCCCAGCTACTTGAGACAGAAGAATCACTTGAACCTAGGAGGCAAAGGTTCATATATATATATATTTTTTTTTTTCTTTTTTTTTGAGACAGAGTCTCACTCTGTTGCCCAGGCTAGAGTGTAGTGGCATAATCTTGGCTCACTACAACCTCCACCTTTCAGGTTCAAGCCTCAGCCTCTCAAGTAGCTGGGACTACAGGTATGTGCCATCACACCCAGCTAATTTTTGTGTTTTTAGTAGAGATGGGGTTTCGCCATGTGGGCCAGGCTGGTCTTGAACTCCTGACCTCAGGTGATCTGCCTGCCTCAGCCTCCCAAAGTGCTGGGATTAGAGGGATGAGCCACCATGTCTGGCCAGACTCACCATATTTTTAATTTATTTTAATTACTTAATTTATTTTTTGAAACAGGGTCTTGCTCTGTCACCCAGGCTGGAGTGCAGTAGCACAAACATGGCTCACTGCAGCCTCAACTTCCTGGGCTCAAGTAATCCTCCTGCCTTAGCCTCCCAGGTAACTGGGACCATGGGTAAGCACCACCACACCTGCCTAATTAAAAAAAATTTTTTTAGAGATGGGGTCTTGCTATGTTGCTCAGGATAGTTACAAACTCCTGGCTTCAAGCCTTCCTCCTGCCTCAGCCTCCCCAAATGCCGGGATTACAGGCATGAATCACCACACCCAGCCCGACTTATACATTTTTGCAACCCAAACTCACTGTAGTTGATTCCAGATAAAAATTACCTATACTGGAATCCAGGAATACCTCAGAGAATCTCATCAAGTTTACAAGAGGTAGAATTCTTCGCAGTTTAAGTTTTTGTTATTGTCTTGAGATGGAGTCTTTCTCTGTCACCCAGACTGCCATCTTGGCTCACTGTAACCTGTGCCTCCAGGGTTCAAGCTATTCTCCTGCCTCAGCCTCCCAAGTAGCTGGGACTACAGGTTTGCACCATCATGCCCAGCTAATTTTTATATTTTTAATAGATACAGGTTTTGCCATGTTGGCCAGGCTGGTCTCAAACTCCAGACCTCAAGTGATCTGCCTGCCTTGGCCTCCCAAAGTGCTGGGATTACAGTTGTTAGCCACTGCACCCAGATTTCACAGTTTAATTCAACTAAATTTCATCTATGATTTTGGAGCACCTGCTGGGGAAGGCATTATGGGGGGCATGTGAGAAGTTATTTAGGAAGATGGATTAAAGTTGATTGCATGGCGTGTTGCTTATTCATCAAATATTCAATGAGTATGTGCTAGGTGCTATGCTGAGTAATGGTTATCCACTGATAAGTAAATTGGTCTTTGCCTTCAAGGAGTTTACAGCCTAATCTGATACAATCCTTATCTCCATCCTCCATGAAAGTGCTAATAGAATGTTCACACTTCATTACCATCCAATGCTGGATGAAACAGAGTGCTGGGACTGGCCTCAAGATATGTGTAATTTCAGGGTTGCTCAAAGATGACCAGCTCTATTAGGAATATTTTAGAATTTCCTAGCATCAAGTAACTGTTGTATAGTAGATGTTCAATAAATAATTGTTGGATGAATACTGATACATTCATACATGCAAGCAATGTTGTAGTGGGGAATTGGCTCTGGTGTCAGAAGACCTGGGTTCAGGAGGTACTAGCACTTACTGGCTGGACAATTTGTTCAACCACTCAGAACCTCAATTTCCTCATCTGTAAAAGAGGAATAATGTCACATGGTTGGCCTATTTAATTATTAATTGACTGGTAGTAAAATGTACTGGACACCATGATAAGCACCCCTATGAGTCAGGTACTTTTATCTAATGTGAAAACTAAGAGAGGTTGGCGCAGCTCGGTGGCTCATGTCTATAATTCCAGCACTTTGGGAGTCGAGATGAGCGGATCAGGAAGTCAGGAGTTCCAGACCAGCCTGACTAACATGGTGAAACCCCATCTCTACTAAAAATACAAAAATTAGCTGGGTGTGGTGACGCGCGCCTGTAATCCCAGCTACTCAGGAGGCTGAGGCAGGTGAATCGCTTGAACCCAGGAGGTGGAGGTTGCAGTGAGCCGATATCATGCCTCTGCACTCCAGCATGGGGGAGAGCGTGAGACTCCATCTCAAAAAAAAAAAAAAAAAGAAAGAAAAGAAAGAAAACTAAGAGAGGTGAAGTTCAGAGTTCAAGGTCACAGGGTTGATAAGACAGGAAACCAAAATTTGATTCTGGGCAGAATGACTGCAAAGATGGGAACACTTCACCACTTCCTCATATATTGCCTGGTATGGTCATCTGAGAACTTGGATTCCAAAACACGGTATATTTTAACACATTACAGCAATGTAAAATGTTCATCTTCTAATTTTAAGGTAATTACAAGTTTAAAAAGATGGGTTTGTTAAATTAGGTCATGTTGGCATTGCATTCACTTACTGTAAATAAAAAAGGGCCCAGGAGGAAGAGCTAATCCTTTGTACCCACAAAGCCTAGAAACAAGGCATTCAGCCAGGCGTGGTGGCTCATACCTGTAATCACAGCACTTTGGGAGGCTGAGGTGGGTGGATCACTTGTCAGGATTTCAAGAGCAGCCTGGACAATGTGGTGAAAACCCATCTCTACTAAAAATACAAAAAGTAGTTGGGCATGGTGGCAGGTGCCTGTAGTTCCAGCTACTCGAGAGGCTGAGGCAGGAGAATAGCTTGAACCTAGGAGGCAGAAGTTGTAGTGAGCCAAGATTGCGCCACTGCACTCCAGACTGGGCAACAGCGAGACTTTGCCTCAGAAAAAAAAAGAGAGACAAGGCAGTAATCACCTCCAGATGTA